AGTGGCCATGCTGTGGTGGCGGCTCACATCAAAAAGAGGAAGATTGGCAGTGGATGTTAGCTCAGGGAGAATCTTCCTCAGCAAAAAAAAAAAATTTTTGAGTGAGATTAAATAAATACCATCCTATGTGTTAGTCACCTCTGTTTCTTATTAATGGAATTGCATGGGAAAATTTTAAACAATACATAATTGTATTTTACAGTACCATTATTATTTTATTCATATTAATAATAAAACCCTGTTAAAATTTTAGTTTTGTCTTTTTGTTCATTAAGCCTTTCATCACACAGCTTTTCATATAGTTCTACCATGGTCTGTTACATAACGACTCCTAAGCTCTTTTCTTCCTTCATAGATAGTCTTTCTTTGCAGAGTAAACATGTAAAAATGTTTTTCACTTCCACAAATAAGTATGAGGGCTCTCCTTTTTCTTGTATTGTGGGTTAAACAAATATGACACTTTCCGTGAAACACTTCAGAGCAACTGTGACAAGTGCCAGTTGACACAGGGCTTCAAAGCTGGAAGGGCACTAGGGAGGTGGGGCTGGTGAGTGTCATGTAAAGACTGTACCCACTGCTCACTCCAGCCAACCATTGTTGGTAGGAATACCAGCCCCGTGTTGCTAGATTTTCTGATTTTCCAAACAAAATGGAAGTCTATACTTTATATGTACTCTCCCATTGTTTTTTTAACATTGAAACCAAATGAAGATTGTTTTTAATACTGTGTGGACCAAAGAAGATAAACCTTTGGCCCAGATTCAGCCTGCAGGCTCCCAGTTTGCCGTTCCCATCAGAGGATGTCTATGTTATATATCAGACACGAGGTCTAGATAAGCTGCCTGTGACACCAATGAGCAAAATGAAAAGGAATTTTAAAAGACATCTGCAGGTCATCTATACCAACAGAATAAATATCATGTAAAACACGAACAAATTCACTACGCCCGTTTAGAGCTACAGAAACACGAAATTAGGCCATCAGTTTTTATAGGACAGGAGCTGAAATCACTCATAAAACAAGAGGATGAAATGTAAAGGGAATTCATAGAAAAGAATTTTAGAACCAAATAAGTATTAAAGAATTACTTTTAAAAAATGAAGACATCATGGGGCAGAAAGGAGACTACTGAGAAACAAATTCCTGGTGCAGAGGAAAGTCTTGAGGCTGTTATGATGAGTATCGAGAAAAAGAAAAAGAATTTGTTAAAGAGAAGTAAATAGAGATGGAGGACAGATACGTAAAATTCAGTATAAAATTAACTAACTTTGAAATAGAAAAGCCAAGGATGGAAGAGAAAATGTTTTCAAAAACAGAATAGCAGAGAGTTTTACTACATTGAAGAAGTGACTGCACTGGCAATTGTGTTTGGGGGGAAAATGACACAGAACAGCCAAGTCTGAGACATGTCTTGACTGAGTATGATGATGGTGATGGTGATGATGGTGATGATGGTGATGATGTTGATGATGATGGACAATTTAAACACATGCAAACGTAGAGCATATAGTATAATGAACCCCAAGTACCCATCATCCAGCTTTAATAGCAACCAACTCTGGCCAATCTTGTATCTTCTCTTCAGTCCCTACTCTACTTCAATAGCCCCTGTATTATTTTAAAGTAAATATTAGACAGATAGGATTTCATTCATAAATATTTCAGCATGCATCTCTAAAAGAAAAGCAATTTTTTTTCAAAAAAATATCCACAATACCTGAAGAACTCGAATTCCTTAGCATCATCAAATATCAATCAGTGCCCAAGTGTCCAATTATCTCATAAATGTAATAAATGCTTTTAAATATAGTTTATTTTAATCAGCAATAGAAAAAGGTTCACACTGTGATTGGTTAACATATCTCTTATGCTCCTTTTAATGTGGGCTGACCCTCTTCTCTCTCTCTATCTCTCTTTCTATCTCTCTCTGTGTCTCTGTCTCTGTCTCTCCAGCTCTATCTATCTCCTCTCTATCTCTGTCTCTCTCTCCCTCCATCTCTCTCTCTCTCTCTCTGTCTCTCTGTCTCTGTCTGTCACTCTCTGTCTCTATCTCTCGTGTCTGTGTGTTTGTATGTGTCTCGGTGCAAAGTATGTCTTAAAGAAACTGGATCTTCATCCTGTAGAATTTCCCACAGTTCAAGTTTGCTGATTGCATCCCAGTGGTGCCATTCCTCACATTCCTCTGTCAAGTGTGTTTCCTGTAAGTTGGTAGTTGGATTAGAGTCTTGATTAGATCCAGGGTGATGTTGTTACTATTATTATTAGCCAGACTGCCTCATGGGTGGCCTTTAGTTCTCTCTTGGTGTGGTGTTATCAGTCACCATGATCATTGCCTGTTTGCGTTGTCACTATGGGCTGTAGATGCTAATTCTATAGTTCCTTCTTCAGTGGGAGGACCTCCTCCTCAGCTGCAGGGCTTCCATGAGGATGAACTTCCTCATCTGCTAACTGGTTCCTCAGTGGTTCAGTTTACATAGGAGAAGCAGCATGCTTGGTTCTTTCTCTTTAGGTAGCATTTTCAAAACAATGAATTGATTCATTAGCATCCTCCAATGGTGACTAAGTTTTTTTTATTATTATGAACTTGTAGATTCAACACCTTTGATGTATTTCAATCTACCGAAATTATTATTCTTAATCATATTAAATCATCCCACTTTTAGCCAGTGGGCATCTCTTCAAGTTGGTCTGAATCCTTTTGACATGACCTACTAGCCTTTGATAACTTCTTTGCTGCTGGTGTGGCATGCTGTTCCAACGTATATACTGCTTTAAGGATCCAAGTAGCTTCTAGTGGGATACGAACCTTTCAAGTCCACACTCCCCTGGCTCATTGAACTGTTTAACTTAACTCATTGGCTGCTCCCTCTCCGATTCCTTACTGGATCCCCCTCTTCCTGACTTCTAATTGTGGCAATGCCAGGACTCAGTCATCTGACTTTCCCTCTTTGCTGTCACTGTCTGGGTGACATCATCTAATCTCATAACCTTATCCTCTTATTCAACACTTCAGCTTCCCAAATTTATACCTTCAGAGTGGACCTCTTCCCTCAACCCCAATGGGCTACTCAATGTCCTCTTGGAGGTACAAAGTTAGCATGTTCAAACTGAACTCATAATTTTCCCCACTGCCGCCAACAACCCTCCCCAAACCTGCTCTTCCCATCACATTTAATGATAATCCCCTCTTTCCAGATATTCAGGCCAATATCCTTGGAGTCATCCTTGACCCCTCTGTGTCCGTACCCCACATCTGTTCTGTCAACAAAGCCTCATCTTAAAAATATCCTTAAACTTCATCTCCTTTTGCCGTCACCCAGTTCAAGCATTAATACCTTTGTCAGACTCCTGCAATAGTGTCCCGACTGCTGTCAGTAATAAACAGGATAAGCCTGTTATTCTGAAGTCAAGTAATGTCTTTTCCCTGCTCAGAATAAGGCTTAACATCTCACTCCAAGGAAACTTTAGGGCCGGGCTTGGCAAGCACAGCTCTCACAACACCTTGGAGACCACCCCTGGCCCTAACCTGCCTGTCCCTATTCTCTAGGCTCCCCCCATGCTCACTCTGCCACAGGCACGTCGGCCTCTCTAAGGTTCCTCAGACACACCGGCCACACTCCCTTAGAGTCTTCGCACCTGCTATTCTCTCCTCTTGGGGTATCTGCTTGGTTTCTCATTTGACAGTTCTTCAATTTCCTTTTTTATGTCTTCTTGATGGGGGCATTTTTAAATTTCCAAATATTTGGGACTTTTCAGATATTTTTCTATTATTGGCTTCTAGGGTAATACTGTTTATATGTGAGATCATACTTTGTATGATTTCAATCTTCTCAATTTTATTGAGACATTTTTATGGCCCAGAATATAGCCTATCTTGGTGAATGTTTCATGTGTACTTTAAAAAGAATGTGTATTCTCCTGTTGAGGGTGGATTTTTCTGTAAATGTCAAGTTGGTTTATCGTGTTAAGTTTTCTGTATCTTTGCTGATTTACTGTGTATTTGTTCTATTGACTTCTGAGATGGTTAATGGATATCTCCAATCAAAATGGTATATTGGTCTGTTTTACCTTCAGTTCTATCTATGTTCATACTATGACATTCTGTTATTAGGTACATACATATTTCAGGTTGTTATGTCCTCTTGAGGAAGTGACCTATGTATCACTATGACATGTCTCTCTTTATCCCTGGTAATATTTCTTGTTCTACAATTTGATACTAATATAGCCACTCTAAGTTTCTTTTGATTATTTTTTGAACAGTATACTTTTTCATCCTTTTACTTTTCACCTATCAGTGTCTTTATATTTAAAGTAGGTTTTTAATCACATATAATTTGATATTGCTTTGTTTATCCAATCTGACAATCTCTGCCTTTTAACTATAGTGTTTATGTTATATGCACTTAGTGTAATTGTCAATATGGTTACGTTTAAATCTACCATCTTGCTATTGGTTTACTGCTATTTGTTCCATCTGATTTTTTCCCCTTTCTTGTCTTTTTTGTTGTCACTGTTAATTGATAATTTCTAAAAAAATATATTTTATGTCCCCTATTGGATCATTTAACTATACCATTTTGTTTTAGCTTTTGGTGATTGCACTAGAGTTTACAATATATATGTTTAATGTGTCACAGACGACTTTCAAATTATATTATACTACTTCACATATAGTGTAAGAAACTTAAGACAGTGGACTTCCATATACCCCTTCTGTACTTTGTGCTATTATTGTCATATATTTACTTCATGTATTATAAACAACACCAAACATTGTATTATTTTTGCTCCATTAGATAGAGAGTTCTCAGAGGACAAGAACATTGTCATACGCATCTTTCCCAAGCATTTGGCAAATGCCTGGTATATAGTATGTTTTAAATAAGTGTTGATTTAACGAAGAAAGGAAGAAATGAATCTGTTGACTTCCATCTACAACCAAAGGCTCTTCCTCTTCTGAGTCCTCAGGACACTCTGTCTCTCTGGCCTTCCTTCCTCATGTGGCTGTGTGTTTCAGCCTCCACAGGGCCTCCTTCACATCCTTGTTTCTCAGACTGTAGATGATGGGGTTTAGCATTGGGATGACCAGGGTGTAGAAGACAGAGACCACCTTGCCCTGCTCCATGGACTCAATAGCTCCCGGCTGGGCGTACATGACAAAGACAGTCCCAACAAAGAGAGTCACTGCAGTCATGTGGGAGCCACAGGTGGAGAAGACCTTGTGGCGCCCAGCTGCTGAGCGCATCCTCACGATGGTCACTGCAATGTAGCCGTAGGAGACCAGGACCACAAATGTCACACTCACAATGATGAGCCCACAGATACCAAACATGATGAGCTCGTTGAGGGCTGTGTTGGCACAAGCAAGACGGAGCAGAGGGGGCACGTCACAGAAGAAGTGGTCGATGTGGTTGGAGCTGCAGAATGGGAGGCTGAATGTGAAGCTGGTCTGCACGATGGAGTTGAGGCAGCCTCCACAGTAGGCGCCCAGCACCAGCCGGGCACAGGCCGAGGGGCACATCATGATGGGGTAGTGCAGGGGGCTGCAGATGGCTATGAAGCGGTCATAGGCCATGACACCCAGGAGGAAACCTTCAGTGGTGACCAGCAGAGAGAAGAAGAAGATCTGGGTGGCACAGCCCTCAAAGGTGATGACCTTGGATGAGGAGAAGAAGTTGGCCAGGGCATTAGGGGCGATGACCGATGAGTAGCACAAGTCCAGGAAGGAGAGGTTCTTGAGGAAGAAGTACATTGGGGAGTGCAGACTGGCATCCAGGGTGATGATCACAATCATGGTGAGGTTCCCCAGGACAGTCAGCAGATACATGGCCAGGAACACAGCAAAAAGCAGGACCTGGGTCTCAAGGCCACCCTCAAATCCCTCCAGCACAAACTCTTGAAAGTAAACCACTGAGAGGTTTCCATTCCTGTTGGGTGGCATGGCCCTCAGGCCTCAGACCAGGAGAAGAAATTCTGCCTCCAGTGATGGTGGACCAGGTAAATCAAACTAAACTTCCTACTGAAGACTATCAGAAAAGATGAACGACAACAAAAACAAGACTGACTGAAGGTGTAAGAGAGTTAATGATTTAGTGAAGAACTGCTAAACAACGTTCAAAATAAACAGAGAACCAGGGATTCCAGTACTAAGAGCCTCTCTTTTCCTTTGAGACGTAAGCCAGTTTTGCAGAAGAATTCTGAGAGGCCAAGTGCTGAAGCAGTGAGTTTTTGCCTGTCTTGTGGATCTAGCAGTGACAGTGCTTGGTTACTGGGGACCACCAAGGATGCATCGGAGGAGTAAGTTTAAACAAGGAGTAGTTACGCAGCTGTTTCTGACCATTTCAATCACTGGAATTGTATTAAGGTGAGACCTCAGTGCTAGTGCCCCTGACACCTCGCAGAAACAAACATATCTCCTCAAGAGGAAGATGCATTATGCTAGACTTCAAGTTTTTTCCAAAAGAATTTTGCACAAACAGTGCCAGACACACAATTAAAAATTGAGAAGTTAAAGCAATATGAATTAAAACAACAGAAGCAATAGACAGTAGAAAATCCACAGAGTTAACAGACACAAACTTTAAAATAACTAATGTTATTGTGTTTAAAGGATAAAAGATGAGCTTAAGAATTTCAGCAGAGATGTGGAAATTATAAAAAGAATCATGTGTAACCTTTTTTTAAAGTACAATGATTAAAGTTAGGAACTCGATGAATGAGTTTGACAGCAGATTAGGAATAACTAAGTAGAAAATTTGTGACGTAGAATACAGGTGAATAGTAAATATTCAGAGTGCAGCATGAAGAGACAAAAGAATGGTGCAAAAAATCAGAAATTAATGTGAAAGACAAGAGATGCAATGAAAAGTTTCAACAAATACATAGTGTGAGTTCCTAAAAAAGAGGAAAGAAATAAATAGGCTGAATCAGAATTGAAGGGATAATCTCCAAGTATTTTCTCAAAACAATGAAAGAAATTAATCTGCAGATTCATGAGCCCTACAAAATCAAAGCAAGATTAATGCAAAGAACACCAGACTTAGACAGATAGAAGTAAAATTATTTAAAATGAAAATAAAGGGAAAAATCTTAAAAGCAGCCTGAGAAAAAGACATAATCCTTTCAAAATATCAACCACAGAAATAAGACTGTCAACTGTCTTCTTACCTGATTAAAGAATAATAGAAGCCAGAGTAAATGAAATTATATTTTCCTTTGCTCAAAGAAAATAATTGCCAACTAGAGTTCTATGCCCACCCAAAATATTTTTCAAGACTGAAAGTGAATTTAACAATAATAGTTAGAAACTTTAATACCTCACCTTCAATAATGGATAGAACAACTAGACTAATGATCAGCAAGGAAATGATAGATTTGAACAATATTATAAACCGAGTATACCTAACAGACTTATAAAGAACATTCTATCCAACAACAGCAGAATACATTCTTCTCAAATGCACATGGAACATTATCCAGGATAGACCATATGTTAGTTTACAAAGCAAGTGTCAGTAAATTTAAAAAGATTGAAATTATACTATGTTTTTCAAGCAAAATGGAACGAAATTATTAATCAATAACACAAGAAAATTTACAAATATGTGGAAGTTAAACAATACACTCATAAATCACCACTGGGTAAAAGAATAAATTACAATGGAAATTAGAAAGTACTTTGAGATTAATGAAAATGGAAACAAAACACACCAAAACTTGTGGGATGCAATGAAAGAACTCAGAGAGAAACTTATAGCTATAAACACTAGTATTTAAAAAAAATTCTCAAATCAATAACTTAAAATTCCACCTTAAGAAATTAGAAAACAGGACAAAACTAAGCTTGAAGCAAGCAGAAGGAAAGAAACAGTAAAGATTAGAATTGAGATAAACAATAGAGAAAATCTATGAAACCAAAAATTGATTCTTTGAAAAGATCAACAAAATTGACAAACCTTTAGCTAGACTAACAAAAAAAAGGCAGAAGACTTAACTTACTAAGATCAGGAATGAAAACAGAGGCATTACTTCTGACCTTACAGAAATAAAAAGTATTGTAAAAGTATTTTAGAACAATTGTATACCTCAGATAACCTAGATGAAATGAAAAAATTCCTAGAAACACACAAACTACCAAAACTGACTCAAGAAGAAATAGAAAATCTGGGGCCGGCCCCGTGGCGCAAGTGGTTAGGTGCACATACTCCGCTGTGCAAAAGGAGGAGGATTGGCAGATGTTAGCACAGGGCTGATCCTCCTCACAAAAAAAAAAAAAAAAAAAGAGAGAGAGAAAAGAAATAGAAAATCTGAACAGACCTGTAACCAAGAGTTTGAGTCACTAATCACAAAACTTCTAAGAAAGAAAAGCTCAGGACAAGAAGTCTTCACTGGTGAATTCTACCAAACATTTAGAGAAGGGTTAACACCAGTACTCCTCAAACTCCTCAAAAAATAGAAGAGAACACTTCCCAATTCATTCTATAAGGCCTGTATTGTCCTGATACTAAAGTGAGACAAAGATATTATAAGAAAATGAAGCTACAGACCAATATTTCTTAAGAATATAGATGTAAAACTCTTCAACAAAATTATAGCAAGCCAAATCCAGCAGAACATTAAAGAGATTAGATAGTATAACCAAATGGGATTTATCCCAGGAGTCCAAGGGTGATTCAGCATACAAAAATCAATCAATATAATACACTATACAAATAATGAAGGAAAAAATAGACTCAGAAAATAATCTCAATAGACACAGAAAAACTACCAAACATTGCTGAAAGAAATTAAAGAAGACTTACTTAAATGGAAAGGTATCCCATGTTCATGGATTGGAAGACTTAATAATGTTAAGATGACAATACTGCTCAAATTGATGCACAGATTCAAGGCAATCCCTATCGAAATTCCAATTGTCTCTCTCTTTTTTTTTTTTCCAGAAATTGACACTAAATAGCTGAAACAATCTTAAAAAAAGAACAAAGTAGGAGGATTCACACTTCCTGGCTTCAAAACTGACTACAGGGGCCAGCCCAGTGGGATAGTGGTTAAGTTCAGGCTCTCTGCTTCGGCGGCTTCGGGTTCACAAGCTCAGATCCCAGGTGCAGACCTATGCACTGCTCATCAAGCCATGCTGTGGCAGCATCCCATATACAAAATAGAGGAAGATGGGCACAGATGTTAGCTCAGGGCTAATCTTCCTCAGCAAAAAGAGGAAGATTGGCAACAGATGTTAGCTGAGGGCCAATCTTTCTCACCAAAAAAAAGAAAAGAAAAGAAGAAACTAAAAAAAACTGACTACAAAGCTACCACAGTAAACTAAACAGTGTCATGCTTGCATAAGGATAGACATATGGACCAGTGCAATAGAAGTGAGAATTCAGAAATAAACCCATACATCTGTGGCCAACTGATTTTCAGCAAGGCTGCCAAGAGCATTCAATGGGGAAAGAATTGTCTTTTCAACAAATGGTGTTGGGACAACTGGATCTCCACATGCAAAACAATGAGTTGAGAACTCTAGCTCACACCATATATAAAAATTAACTCAAAATGGACAAAGACCTAAAGGTAAGTGTTAAAACTATTAGAATAGAAAAAAAAAATCAGTGTAAATTGTCATAACCTAGGATTAGACAACAGTTTCTTAAATATGACACCAAAAGCACAAGCAACAAAAGAAAAAAAGACAAACTGGACTTTATCAAAATTAAAATCTTTTGTGCATCAAAGGACACTATCAAGAAAATGAAAATAAAACCCATATTATGGGAGAAAATGTCTACAAATCTGATGGGGAACTAGTATTCACAAAATATGAACATAAGAAGAACTCTTACAACTCAGTAACAAAAAGACAACCAAATTAAAAAATAGGCAATGGGCTTTAACATACATTTCTCCAAAGAAGATATAAAAGTGGGCAGTAAGTTCAGGCATAGATGCTCAACATCATTAGTCATTAGGGAAATGCAGATCAAAACCACTATGAGATACCATTTCAACTCACTAGAATGGCTATAATTAAAAACATGGAGAACAACAAGTGTTGGTGAGGATGCGAGAAACTGGAGCCCTCATCCCCTGCTGACACAAATGTAAAAGTGATGCAGCTGCTGTAGAAAACAGTCTGGTGGCTCCTCAAAATGTTAAACACAGAGTTACCACATGACCCAGCAATAATCTACCATTAGGTATGTACCCAAGAGAATTGGAAATATATGTTCACACAAAAGCTTGCACACAAATGTTCATAAAAGCAGTATTTTGTGTGTGTGTGTGAGGAAGATCAGCTCTGAGCTAACATCTATGCCAATCCTCCTCTTTTTGCTGAGGAAGACTGGCCCTGGGCTAACATCCATGCCCATCTTCCTTCACTTTATATGGGATGCTGCCACGGCATGGCCTGACAAGTGGTGCATTGGTGCGTGCCTGGCATCCGAACCCAGGCCACCAGCAGCAGAGCGTGTGCACTTAACCGCTACGCCACAGGGCCAGCCCCAAAAGCAGTATTCATAATAGCCAGAAAGTGGATGCAAACCGAATGTCCATCAAATGATGAATAGATAAACAAAATTTCATATATTCATACAATGGAATAATATTATAAAAGGAATACAGCTCTGATACAAGCTAGAACATGGATGAACCTTGAAAATATTATGCTAAGCAAATGAAGCCAGATACAAAAGGCCACATTCTATGATTCCATTTATACGAAATGTCTAGAATAGGCAAATCCATAGAGACAGAAAGTAGATTAGTGGGTGCTGGGGGCTGAGGGAAGGGGACATGGGAAGTGACTGCTGAATGGGTACGGCATTTCTTCATGTGATGAAAATATTCTGAAACTAGATAGTAGTGATGGTTGAACAACATTGTGGATATACTAAAAAACAGAGAAAAACCAAAGAACCCACACTTGTTTGTACACTTTAAAAT